ATTCTCCCAGTGGGATGCCAAGTAATGAGTAGTTTGCATGTGTATTTTTAACTAAAAAATGCATAATCTTAAACTTCTCAATATTAAACCTCATCTGCCATGCTGATGCCCATCCCCTATTTTATCCAGGCCTTCCTGTAAAATTGCTATGTCTTCTGTGGAGTTTATTACCCTACAAATTTTGGTATCATCAGCAAAGACTGAAATATTGCTATTAATAACGGTCCTAATATCATTGATAAACAGATTGAATAGCAATTGGCCCCCAAGGCAGAACCCTGGAGCACTCCACTGCCAAAAATTAGCCATTTATTTATACTCTCTGAACACGTTCACGTAGCCAGTTCTCTATCCAAATACACATCATTTCATCAATGCCTTATGATTGAAACTTGTAAATTAAATGTTTGTGAGGTACCGAATTACATTATTTTGCAAAATCAAGGTACACTACGTCCACTGGCTTTCCTCCATCTAGGCTGCCACTCACCTCCTTATAGAAGGCTAATAGGTTAGTTTGACATGGATGGTCTTTCCTGAATCCATGTTGGTTGTCACTTTTGATATTATGCCAATAAGCAAATTCTTGGATATGGTCTTTTATCATACCTTCAAATAACTTGCATACTATCCAAGTTAAGCTGACAGGTCTATAATTCCCAGGTAGTATCTCAAACCTTTTTTTAAATATTGGTACAACAGTTGCTTTATGCTAATCAGCTGGTATCTTCCCAGTCAGTATGGAGTCCTTAAAAAATAGGAGCAATGGCCTTACTATTATCCTGCTTAGCTGTTTAACCACCTCAGTGCCGGCCGTTGTAAAAAAACGGCCGGCCGAGAGGTCTCTAGATCTGAGCGGGCGTCTTTAGAAGTCCGCTCAGACACGCGGGAAATGGCCGGTATTTAAAAACAGGCAGGGATGCCTGTTACCATACAAGCGAACATGGTGTGCCGATCGGTCCCCCCCCCCTCCGCGGTCGCCCCCGCAGTTGTTCTGCTGATCCCGGGCTCCGCTGTGCCCGGTGCGTGCCCGGGATCAGCATGACAAAAAGAAATTTAAAGTTACACATAAAAAAGAGTAAAAAAAAAATATTTTTTTTTTCAAGTCCCCACCCATACATACACGCATGCAAACGTGCGTCGGGGCGCATACGTGCAAAAAAAACCAATTGCGCCCATTACGCCGCACATGTTACATATCGCCGCGAACGTCGGAGTGAGAGCAATAATTCTAGGGCCATCAATCACTGATAACACTAAACTGATGAGCGGTAAAAGCTTTTAAAGCGTCGCCTATGGCCAGTTTTGGGTATGGTAGTTTTCTGCGATTTCGCGGGTGCGCGCAATTTTAAAGCTTGACATGTTTGGTGTCTGCCTGTTAGCCCCCTCCCCCCACTCGTGCATGACGCTTGGCGAGTGCGAGTGGGAAACAGTCATAATTTAAAAACAGGGAGCGGTGCCTGTTTACATACAAGTGATCAGCCGGCTATAGAGCCGACGGATCGCTTGTATGAGTTGCCGATCGCTTTCAGTACAGCATTGCATGACGGAATAAATGTCAGCGCTGAATACTGAAAAATGGCCTGGCCAGCAAGGGGGTATAAACACCTGATCTTCAAGTGGTTTAAGCAAGTCCAGTTAGCCTCTGCGTTCTTTGTTATAAATAGTTGCTCCCATTTGATATCATGCATTAAGGATTGCAGCTTGTTGAAGCTAGCCTGTTTGAAGTTTAGTGTTCTTTTCAAACCAACCTGCCTTTCTTTTCTGTAATCTACTGTGAGCGTGATCGCCCTATGATCATTGTTACCTACGTTTTCCTGAGTTGCTATGTCTGTGACTAACTGTGCATAGGCATGCGCACAGAGTGTGTCAGGTGTGCCTGGCCACACCCCAATCCCCCCGGGCACAACACCAAAACCACAACAGTTGGCGCTGTGCTTTTATTCACTGAGCCAGTGGAGAGTTTGCAAAGATCTCTATGTGACCAGTTCAGTGATAAAGAGCGCAGCAGCACTTGCCACTTACATTCCTCACATAACAGTCGCCATCCTCGGTGCCTAGAAAGTTGTGAGGGAGCATGGCTGTGGCTTTCCAGGCTTCCCATCCAATCAGAAAGCACCCTGCCAGGCTCCCTTCTTCATTACTGCACCCCTGTTGGAAATATATCAATCGAAAATGGCACTTTTGGCAAAATACTGAAATAGCGGTGCATACCTGCTCTCTCTCCTTCCCGCCGGGCACTGCTCTGTGTCCCAGCGAGGAGAAGAGAAACTGTCACAGGAGGCCGAGCGGTGCGGGAGGAGAGCGCTGTGAGCGGCCTTGCGTCTCTCCTCCCTGCACTGCTCAGCCTTCTGTGACAGATCAGGAGAGCGGCGGTGTGGGGGCGGAGACAGCTGTCACGGGAGGCCGAGCAGGGAAGGAGTCAGCTGTCAGATCGAGCTCTCCTCAGTGATCGCTGAGTGTTTGTAAATAATTGAGGACAGAGTATGTTTACTGTGTCCCCAATTATGAATGGGAAGTGATTTACATCACTTCCTGTTCATTCATGATTGTGGATATAGTAAACATACTCTGTCCTCAAGTTATGAATGAACAGGAACACTCAGTATAGAGGCTTCTTGTTCATTTATAACAGGGGATGCAGAAAAAGAGGTTGAGGACTTTTTGTCCTCAATCTCTTTTTCTATTTTAAAAGGGAAATATCAGGGAGCTGTTTAGATCCTTCATATTTCCCCAAAGCCCCCAACAGTACAGTAAAAAAAAAAAAAATATGTATTAAAATAAATACATAAATAAAAATAAAATATAACAAATGTAAAAGTTTATTTAAAAAAATGAAAATAAAATATTTAAAAAAAAAACGTGAAAAAGTAAAAAAAAAAACATTTTCAGTTTCTGTTTTGTTTTTTCTTTTTTGTTAACTTTATGTGGAATATACAATGAGGGGAATGTATTAAAAATGCAGAAGACACAATACGGAGCAGTTGCCCATAGTAACCAACTTCTTTTTTTCAGTTTGTTCCGTTAAGCTTTGAAAATGAAAAAGAGAAGGTGACTGGTAATTATGGGCAACTGCTCCAGATTCTGTCTGATCCAGTTTTGATAAATTCTCCCCATGTGTACACTCCATTCAGGTCCCCGCACAGTAATGCGAGGCGCTGCACTGTGGTGATCCGTGGTGGCATCTACTGCACTGTGAAAAAATGCAGCATGTTTGCATTTAATTGCAGAGCACCACCCATCACACCCGCATGTGAATTGAACATGTAGAAAACATTTGGTTTCTATGGTCCTTGCGGTGACCTAAGTTGAACTGGTGTGATAAAATGCAGGTCACCGCAGTATATGTAAACAGACCCTACATCTTTTACTTTATCTCTTAAATATCTTGTTTGCGGTTTCAAAAAATCAGAAAAGGAAAAGTAATTTTTGCCATATAGATTGCCATATAGATTTCTAAAGAGCTGCAGAACTGGGAGGGGTGACAAGTGTTGTGTCCATTACCTAAATACAGCTGGAAGGTGTCCCTCATGTCCCTTATTCTCATATAAGAAAGTCGGGAGGACTTTGTAGTGAATGTAGTCTATGGCTCTGGTCACAGTGAATTGTAAGGGCCCATTCACACTGGATCCGTTGCGATCTGTTGCGATCCGTAGATGCTAGCGGATGGGCACCAAAAAATGAATGGGTGTGAATAGGGCTACTTCACACCACTCCATTACGTTGTGTTGCGCTGAAACAAACAAACCATGCATTACTTTGTTACAGTGCAACGTAACAAAACAGATCCGGTGTGAACTAGTCCCATTCACACCCATTCATTTTTCGGTGCCCTTCCGTCAGCATCCAGTAGAAAACGTATCGTAACGCAACGGATTGGAAGAAAATCGGAGGGTACAACGGCAATTCGTTGCGTTGTGATTTCCTTCCGATTTTGGTATGAATGGACCTTGAGTGTTTCGGGTGTTTTCCTGGCAATTTATAAGCGTTTTTGAGCATCATCTGTGTCAACGCGCGTTTGTCATTTTTTTTTTTAGCCTGTTTTCAAGCGTTTTATTGTGCTTTTTTCAATTTGTGCTGCCCTCCATTTTATTTTTTTGCAGAGGACGGCTGGCTCTTGCACGTCAAACTGCTTTAAAAAAAAAAAGGTGTGAAAACGCTTGTGTCGCCTGTTTTCATTGAAGTCTAAGGCCCCATTCACATGTAGCGACTTATCGCGCGATTTCCGCCGCGATATTTTTGCCGCGCGATATCGCGAGAAGTCACCGGCTAATAATAGTCAATGGAGCTGTCTTAGCTCCATGTCGCTCGTCGCTCGTCGCAAGTCGCTTCTACAGGACCCTTTTTTCGGCGGATTTTGCTTTTTTTCTATGGAGCCCGACGGAGAAGGTCGCGCTACCGTCGCTGGATCGTCGCTGGAACGTCGCCCCGAAAGTCGCGCTATCCCGGCCGCTGCAAAGGTATGTCGCTACATGTGAATGGGGCCTTAGTCTATGGGGCCAAAAGCGCAGAAATCTGTAGAAAACTAGCTCATGTACTTTTCAGACAGGTGTTTTGCTGCAAGCGACATATCGCTCAGGTGTGAACAGGGGCCATTGAAAACAATACTTGTGTACAGCATTTTGAAACTCCAAGATTTGAGGTGTGAACAGGGACTAAATTGCAGGATGTCAAAGGTTCCATTCAGAAAAATACACGTTACCACGTGAACATAGCAGTGTGAATGCATCCTAAAGCCTGGTGTGCTGATCCTCTACTTTGGAATGCTAGGCAATAAACATTTATTTACACTATAGAAATATTTTCTGCATACCTCTAGTTTTACAGTAAAACCTGCATGCCAACACTGTGCACTCATATTTATACAAGTGTAGCATAGTCAGTTGTTGGTCTTGGACACATGCATCAATGTGAGGAGGGCTGTCATCTGTTAAACAAAAGGGGTGTTGTCTCTTTAAGTTTCACAAGGATGACATCAGCACTTGGGTTTGGCAGTCGGATTCAATGAGTGTAGAACAGAGTAGAGACAGCTCACAGACTGAAGGGGGAAGGAGAGAAGCAGAGCAGCTAGACGCAGGCACAGCACACAGCAGGTAAGCACAGCTCCCGGCAATCTCTTGTCATCCGTCTCCCCCAAACCTCCCCCAGACATGACACCCCCAGGAGCAGATAGAGGGTGCTCTGGGCTTCACACCCATACCAATATTGAGGGGTTCGGGTGTATTTAGAAGGCTGAAATGAAGGGGGAAACATCACCCCCCTACTGCTTGTTTTCTAAGCCTAGCAACCGATTAGCCGTACCAAAACAAGACAATGTAGACAACTGATTTATTTAATAACAATGCTGATAACGAACAACAATATTTTATTGTCTTTACAGAAAACCAGCGCATTATTTTTGTTGTATTTCTCTGATTCCTGGCTCGGGGGGGGGGGCTGAGAGGATCTATTAGGATTTTCTTTAGATTTGGTTCATGTTGGGTTAAAATAATGTCCTCTTATTTCTATCTGCATAGGTTGTGGATATGAAGTGTAAATATAATAATAATGGATCAGAGATTTGGAATAGTGTATTGGTGGATAATTATGCAGGATAATTATGCTATCAGAAGGTATCTGGTGCTTGTGTCTGCACTGCACTCAAAGAT